TGTTTCCATTACCAAGGATGGTACGCAAGTACCATTTCCTAATAGATTGTAACGTGATTTGCGTAAACAAGACAAAACATAAAGACCCAAATCACTGGTAACATGAGACGCTGGACCCTATATCCATGTACCAAGTATTGTCTAGTAGAAGGAGTTGTATTGTATGGAAGGTTTCAACTTTAATAGGTATCATCGAGATCATTGGCAGATTGTGGATCAACAATAAAGTTGATATAGGGGAGTGTGTTGGGTCAGATGTTGTTAAAGCATGTTTGTGGGTGGTAGTTGTGTCGTGACTCAAGTAGATCGAGTTGCTACATTGGAGCTGCTTTGGCATAAGAGCATTGTGACAATTGCTAATTTCAGTTTAGTTATCACTCTTGCTATTGCAATCTTACGTTTAAATACCTATGTGCTAGACTTAATTTAATCTATTAAGTCATTACGATGCAAATAAAGAATTCACACTTAAAGATGCATCCAGAATGTCATAAAAAGCTCCGTTATGAGAACCGTCGTTAAACGAACACAAACGTTAGTCATTATATATATATATATATATATATAATATATATATATATATATAATATATATATATATATATATATATATATATATATATGAAACGCAAAACAAAAGGTTAACTCATGAACGTCGGATTAAAACAATACATATTTGTAGCCATAATTACAAATTTAGCATGAAGCCGTTTTATATATCGAATATCCTACAATTCACGATTATGAATTAATTCTCATATAAAATAATCGTTTACTTAATCCATCGAAAGAATAACTCTTCAAAAATAATATCTATTTTTAGAAACGAAGAAATTATAAAAACGATAGAATTAAAAACGAACGATGTATGTTTACCTACTAAAATACCTAATTATATTAATAAAATTTTAATTAAATCAATTTTGGTGGTTAAAAACTTGACACGTCGCGTAAAGATCAATCGTTCAATTCTTATGGTTAAAAATGAACGATATCTATTTACCTACTAAACTTGACACACTTTGTGTGGTCAATTTTGCATCACATCACTGTGAATCACCTACATGGTGGTGATTCACCCATACAAATCAAAGGACAATTTTGAGCCTATAAATACCCATCCATGTCTCTTAACCCCTTACATTTCCCTTGAAACCGCCATCATCCCCTTCTTCCCTTTTTTTCGGTTAGAAAGCCACCAAGCACCACCGCCGACCACCGATTGTCACCGCCAGCAGCCGCCATCTCCAGCTCTTTGGTAGATCCTAACACGAATTATGTACACTACACAATGAGGATCACAATCATTGATACAATTTGGATACCAAGCTATCTTATAAATATATTTACAAAAAAGCCTTCGATGTAGTGATGAAATTGTGATACATAATATTCTGATGAGCTTTCCAGTTTCCGGGGATCCATCTCCGGTGAACCCTATTCCGGCGATCACTATTCTGACGAACCTAATTTCCAACGATTATTTTTTTGCAACTCTTTTGCGACACGATTTACGAGCTTCTTTCCTTTGTCTTGAAATTTTCACATGCGGTCATCACACCACGGCCCCTTTTCTTATGTTTTATAAACTCATGAACTTATATCTATAGACTTATAAACTCATGCTTATGAACTTATGAACCCACACGTATGAATTATGCTTACAAACTTATGCTTATGAACTTATGCATATCATGTTATGGAACTTATAAGTCAATGGTTATACTAGACACATTCATTACCTAATTGAAATGATGTCGAAAGACATATACAATACTTAGAAATCCCATAACTTATAACCGTTAATCTTGGTGAGCGAGGAAATTATATATAGATCTATATGGGTTGACAGCCCTACCTATAATTGATAGCTACAACCTCGATGAGCGAGTCAAAATGCGTGATAATTGTCTTTAGTTATGGAGATGTTAATGAAGCGTCGAACGGGGCAAAAGTCTTAGTCACAACTCGGTTATAAGGGACTCATTGACATGCGATTATTTTACTAAATAATATATACGTTGAAAAAACTACTTATGATTGAAACTACTTACGATTCAAATGCATACAACTTGTAAACTCGCCGACTTTATGTTGACTCTCTTCAAATAACACGTATTCTCAGGGAAATAAGAGTAGGAAGCTTACGATTATGGAATAAGCCTTGGAGTCACAATATTCTTAAGATTAGCAATGAAGTTTTATAAATTAACCTACTATTAGCGTCATGTTTATGTAATAATAGGTGTTATAACTCTAGACAAGCACTCATGTAATTCATTTCGGTAATAGGATTTTTCACTTTTATGTTATTTGTTGTGTTTGTTTCTATGTATTCAATGATCCATGACAATGTCTCGCCTCCTATCGTTTCTACTACTTTCTACTACTGGTCGGGGGTGTGACAGGCATGGAGGTGGAGTCCATGTGTGTTGAGGAGGCCTTGTGGGCCAGTGGTTGGGATGATAAGTGGGCTGATACGAAATCGACCTTGTCCCCGACCACGACTATAACTGTTTCATCCCTAACCACTATGTTGCTCGCCGACTCCACTATCCGACGTGTCTGTTGATTTTTCCATGCACGTCGATGGTACAGAAGTTACAAGTATTTGAATCGAGAGGATGGGTTTTGGTTTGTTGGTCATGAGTGCATGTAAGGCTTATGACTCTTGATTGTTGCGTCGGGTTTCTTCGAGAAGAAGATGAGGATAGAGCTTTGTTGAAAGATGGGAGCAGATTGAATTACTAGATAATAGTTGTAATAGTGTCGAGTTCTCCCTTTGTGAGGCTAACGACGAGTTGAAGCACAATCTTTGTTTTGGATAACAGGTTACCAACATTGGCTAGTCGGTAAGAGAGACTCTTAAGATGAGCACAATAATCATATACATTAGAGAATGATGTAAGACGAGTGTTGTTGAACTGTTCTTCAAGGTACATGACTCGGGTCATATTTTTGTATTGAAAATGTCTTTGAAGGATTTTCCATAATCTTAGTGTATTAGCTTCAAGTTTCATGATGGTCTAAAGGAGATCAGTTCATATAGTGTTGCAGATCCACTGCTTAACCACAACATCAAGGCGGTTCCAATTAGCTTGATCGGTGGTTGTAGGGCGTGAAGTTTCTTCATAACTATGGTTGTGAACGTTATATGCACATACATGGATGTAGGAAAGTTGTTGGATCTAGGAGAAGAGATATGACATTCTTGATGTTGTCAACAATGAATGCATGATGGAAGGGAGATTTATTTGCGTCGGCATTATCGTCGGCTTTTACCATGGTGGCCGGAAGTAGGGCTAGCGAAACCCAAAAACTAAAACCGAAACCAAACTGTCGGTTTAGGATTTGGATTTCTTTTAAACCGAAAAAATCAATTTAGGTACGGTTTCTACTTTACAAACCGACTTCAGCTTTTTATTATTCATTTTTAATCGCTTTGCCACATATAACTCGATCATGTTTTCATCTTTCTACTCATATAACATTACTCAAATATATATCGGTATGAATTTATGACACATACTTATAATTTCATCACTTACTACATATGGTTCTATGTACATTTTGTATTTGACCCATTTCTCACTTCGGCTAAAGTATGTATCATTAATTTATTATATCCTATTTAGACAATATATTTTCCCCTTTTTACCGGTACATAATATCATATTACAAACATATCATATTGAGAACATCAAATTCTTTACTCACTTCTATTTAGACAGCATACTTTCATTTCTTAATCATTTTAACATCTTATATCAATTTCTTTGCTTAAATATTGTCCAACACCATTACTTAAGGCCCTATTATCATGTTGGTCAACCAATTATTATCTCACATTTTAGGTTTATATAAGATATAAAAGAAAATTCAATACCTAAGTACGATACTACGATGCACCGATTTATGTCAAAATTAATGGGTGTCAAAATACCTGTTTTCCTTCATTTCCCATATTAAATACTATCAGTAGGTATTTTGTACATCGAATGTATTCATAAGAATAATAGTTGCATAATAGTATAATACATTTTTATGGATCAAGTCAACGATAAGAGTTGATAGGCCACTTGTTAAATACTAGTTAAATACCAATTACTTGATTGATGATTAACTAAATTATTGTATTTTTCATAATAGTTCTTCTACAATTAAAGGTGTATCATAGTTGATAATTATAATTTTTATACGTTATCAAATTTTCAAACGGGTGCTTAACCCGTGGAAATTTGACGAACATTTTGGGTCAAATCCTGAAGAAACTAAAAAACACTGTTTGATGAACATTTTGGGTCAAATCCCGAAGAAAACTAAAAAATATTGTTTGAAGAGCCTGCATAGCATCATCTATCTCAACGGTCCACATCAACCTGTTTGAAAGTTCATGTGGAAAGTCAATCGTGGAACAATAATAATATTTTAAGTGTGTCAGAGTTTGAACCTTAAACTTCATTGGTAAAATTTCATTCCTCAACCACTAGACTCCTATTATACAAATATTGAAACTTGTATTAATAAATGAGCACTTTTATTAAAATATTATTCAAAGAATAACATTTTAACAAATAACAACCCAAAAGCTTTTATTATAATCTTAGTAAAAAAATAAACATTTTAACAACCCAAAGCTTAACAAAATGTTTACTTCCAAAGATTTATTAATTTACAGTTGTAGACAAAATGCCACCCTCCCTACCACCCACCCATACAGAGTACGACTGCAGTACCACTGACTACTACTGACTCATGCATACCACCCAGGCTCTACAATTATATTCTTGAATTTCGGGTATAATTTCAAAAAAAAAAAAAATCAAATCTTTTTCTAAGTTATCAACATAAATGAAAATAAAAGAAAACCCATAAACAAAAGCTAATCACAAGCTTTAGAAATTAGAATACACAAGATAGACAAAAAGAACCTTACTTTTAACACAAACCCACTACAATTCCCCAAATTAATCAAATGTTTGATTCGTTAAACACTTAAACTCAATAATCAGGCATTAACGGAGGAATCTTGGCTTCTTGTTCATCAGCTCTCTTCTGTTCAACCGATCTTAACCAAATACAAACCACCGTAAAACTCAAAACCAAGCTCAAAAGCCCACTTCCCAATCCGATTCCGACAATCACCACCACCGATAACCCTTTACTGTTCATCGGACCTAATGGGTACCCATAAAGATTCTTGTTACCGGAGAAGGAGCTCGCGTTTAGCCGTGGCAAGCTCCCCGTCCGGTTACCCAGGCTCGCCGGAATAGGTCCAGAAAGCTTGTTGTTAGAAACGTCAAAAACCGATAACCTCGCTAAGGACCCGAGTTGAGGTGGGATTGTTCCCGTTAGATCGTTTTCGTGAAGGTCGATTACGTTGAGGTAATTGCACATGGCGAGAGACGGTGGGATGGCGGCGGAGAGGTGGTTGGAGGAGAGGTTGAGTACGGCGAGGTTGACGAGGTACTGGAGTTCGACGGGGATAGGTCCGGCGAGGGAGTTGTTTGATAGGTCTAAAGATTGTAAATTTGTGCAGTTGGAAATATACGGCGAGATTGTTCCCCGGAGACCGAGGTTTTGAAGGGAAAGCTTGTAGACACGGCCATTGTTGCAGGTAGCTCCGGCGAGATTTGAGTTGAAGTCGGAACAGGGGTTGGAGAAGGTGGGTATGGACCAGTTGCGGAGGTTTTTGTTGGGATCATCGAAGGATTGAAATAAATGAGTCAAGCAAGATTCATCTTTGGGATCCGGCGATGATGGTGGAAGGAAGGTGCATATTAGCATGAACAGAAGTAATAATTTGGAAATACGCATTTCTCGATGGGTAGTGCGCATGTTAGGGAAGGGAGATGGTGATGGTTAACAAGAGAGTGAATGGCATTTGGAGAGGTTTACTTTTAGGCCATTTTTTGAGAGAGGAGGCGTGGGAAGGCACTAAAGTTTGTGTTTGGTCAAAACCCAACAACAAAAAGAAGAAGAGATATGATTTTGTATATTTTTGAAATACTCATTGTGCACGAATTAAATGTATTTTTTATAATTTTTATATTAAGAATGTATTTTTAAGTTTAACCCACCAAAATGTCTTCCACTTATAGGGCAAGGAATACTAGTATGATTATTCTCAACCCTTTGTTATGAGTTATGACTATAAATATTAAATATCTAACTTAATTACATAAAATAATTAAATATGTTTTTAATCATTTTTAAATTAAGAATGTATTTTTAAATTTAAACCACCAAAATGTCTTCCACTTACATGGGTAAGGAATTATAGTATGATTATTCTCGACCATTTGTTATGAGTATAATATCAACTAATAAAAAAATTATTATATTATTATTAATGGTCTATGTTATATATATATATATATATATATATATATATATATATATATATATATATATATATATATATATATGTTTGATCATGTAACATTGAGACTTGTAAGTTTCCTTTTTAACTCTTGCTTAATAGCATAATTGCATTATTGGTCATCTGACTAGTACGCGGGACGTACTCTATGAGTACGCTTAGCGTACTACCTAGATCATGATCGCGGGCATCGACCACGTACGCTGAGCGTACGTGGGTTACGTTGGGCGTACGCTGACTTGGGAAAAACTTTAATTTTTGGGGTTTGTGCCCTATTTAAGCTTCTTAAACCCATCCTCTGACCATTTTAGACCAACCTCCATATCTTGAAAACCCTAACCTCGCTCTTAGCCTTTGTTTTGGTGTTCTTGAGCTTTTGTGAAGCATTTTGGTGTGTTTTTGTGTATCTTGAAGTGATAGAAGAAGATTTAAGACTCATTCTTTGGAGAAGAGCTTAGAGATCCAGATTTAGCTTCATCATTTCATGCCTTTTGAGGTATAAAGTCCGTAACTTATCAACTCCTTGTATAGATCTTCTTTTGGGCTTGTTTATGGCTATTTTGGTCCATTTTGGTTGGTCCTTGTGAGCTAAGGTCATTTCAGAAGCTTAACATTTTAGATCTGGACATTTTTAGGGGTCCCTTAAGCATAAAAATGCAAACTTTGTGGTGTATATGAACTCGTGCATATGTTAAGACCTTTTGTTGAGCTCTTTTACGCTCTAGAGCCCCATTAAGCCATGCATGCACGTAAAGTTGCCAACTTTACGTGATAAATCATCTTTTAGGACAAGATCTGAGAGTATGGAGTAGGGGTTGAATGGATTAAATGCTTATTGTTGTGGGGTGGCCAACTGGGGAGTACGTTGGGCGTACAAGCTGGTACGCTGCGCGTACTAGCCCCAGAGCGGTACGCTAAGCGTACGATCTGAGTACGCCTCGTGTACTCAGCAGGTGGGCTTCAGATTTGGGCTTCTCGGGTTTGGGTCATGTGTGGACCTTAGGAGTTTAAGGTCTTGTTGGGCCACAAGATTTCTAGTTTGGACTCTTTTGGAGGAAGGCCCAAGAAGGGATTTGGGCCTAATTTGGAAGATTGGTCCATAATTGGGCTTGGGTGACCATTTTTAGAATTAGGCCTTTTGAGTAATTGGTTTGGGCTTTGGCCTTGGGCCAAGTTAGGTAAAGGGTAAAATGGTCTTTTACCCTAGTTTGGACTCTTAGTATGAGTCGGGATCCAATTATTAATTAGATGTTATTTTATGATGATAGCGCAGAGATTTTCGGACTAGCAGCTAAAGCTTTATCTGTGAGATTCAGCAGTCTGAGGTGAGTCTTCCTCACCATGGTTAGCAGGTCAAAGGCACCAATTCCAACCCATGGTTTATTATGTTAGGGTGCTAGATGTCTGCGTGACTCTTGCATGTGTATGTATGCTTAGTGGGCGGGGCCCAATGGATAATCTGTATGCTATTGTTTGTTATACTTGTATGTTTGTATGTTGGGCGGGACCCGTTGTGAGAGTTAGGGCGAGGCCCATTATACTTAGTGGGCGGGGCCCCGCTCTGCGAGTTAGGGCGAGGGCCGTTATACTCAGTGGGCGTGGCCCGTTAGGAGAGTTAAGGTGGGGCCCGTTACACTCATCGGACGAGGCCCATTATATGTTATATATGTGTGGTATGTGGTATTTGGGGGAAACTCACTAAGCTTCGTGCTTACGGTTTTCAGTTTATGTTTCAGGTACTTCTGGTGCAAAAGGGAAGAGCTTGGGGTGATTGCAGTGCATACACGATATTGTTCCACATTTCATGATAACTCTGATATTTTATGATGTTTTGATACATTTGTTCCACTTGGGATTTATGGTGATGTTTGGGATATTGTTTTTATTAATTAAAAAATGAATTTTTTGGGTCTTATTTTTGGGACGTTACAAGTTGGTATCAGAGCCTTAGTTTGAGGTATTCAAACATACTCTCGGGTGTGTCTGAACTCAAACTGAGGATTTGGTAAAAATTTTTTTTGAAAAAAAAGAGAAATGTTTTTAAAGAAAAGGGTTTTCTAATACAAGAAATGGTGTGGTGCATGCAATCGACCGAGCTCAAGTAAGTTTTCCCAAAATACCTATACATGTTATCTGATATGATTTGATTTGTGAATCTGTGAATCACATGCAAAGTTACGGCTAAGGACCTGCTCAGTATTTGCATGGTAGAATGCTAGGAGAGATACCTTTGTATGCCTATTGTATGAGCTTGTAGACTTGCATGCCAGTACTGATTTGTCAGTGATAGGATGGCCTGATTAGGTTATGCTTGGTTCTGATTACTCGATGCTCGAATGCTGCTTGCTTTGTGCTTTTAGTAGTTCTCACTAGTTTCAACTACCTAGTAAGTGAATATGTTAAGTTACATATTAGTGAGACTAGATAATTTTAGAATTTTAGGTTTTAACTCTATTTCGTAACTCTTGTTTGAGTCCAACCGTTGTAGTATGAGACTTCTCATTCGAAGAATTCTCTGGTTTTGATGATATGTAATTGTATTTGTGAGCTAGTTAGAGGAAGTTAGCTGGAGTTCCTTCTACAGCTGATGGCGGAGAGTGGTGTGCAGTTGACCTAGGAAAAACCTAGGAAGAGATTTAGTGCTGGGAGCCTTATTTTGATGAGGGTTAGTTGTTTGGATATTAAGTGACTTGGCGGATTTAAGGCAATCCTTGAGGAAAGTATAAATAGATGTGGAAGTTAGCATGGGACTGTACTTCTGGAAGCAGAGGATCCATACTCGATTCAAGGAGAGCTGCGATGAAACTAGGAAGCTTGTAGAGTTTGTGATCCCTCGATATATTTTGATGCGTATTCTGATGGTTTATATGGTCTATTTTCAGTATGGCGACTCTTTGAGGCAGACCGGTTGGTAGTTATGGTGCTGGTGAGGGCTCAGGCTCAGGTTCTGGAGCCGGGCAGTTGGATGATTAGACGAGGGAGTTCATTTCGTCTGAGATTACGCGTTCCATTCTCGAGCAAACTCCCATGATCTTTGGTATAATCAAGGAGGGTATTGTGGAGGAGGAGCGCTTGGGTTCTTTCCATTCTGAGATGGTGGCCTTAATTGGGGCGCGTTCATTGACCTTCAGGGAGTTACTGGCATGTGGAGCTCCAGACTATCACAGTGCAAAGGGCCCGATAGAGATTAGGAGGTGGTTAGCGGATGTTGCTAACGCCTTCCGCACCAGTAGTTGTCCTGAAGGGGCAAAGGTCAGACTTGCTTCCTGTCTTCTGAAAGACAGAGCCCAAGACTGGTGGGAGGCGGTTGGGTGCGCAATTTGTGATGATGTTGTTGATTCGATGTCATGGGATCATTTTACGACTAGATTCAGGGTTGAGTTTGCACCAGTGATCGAGGTGCAACAGTTGGTGCGAGAGTTTCAGGATCTCCACCAGACTACTGAGACGGTGGCTGAGATCACCGTGATGTTTCGAGAGAGGGAACTGTTGGTTTCGTAGTATGTGTCAGATGAGGAGATGAAGAAGACGAGTTACCATGAGATGATGAGGAGTGATATTTGGCAGCTTGTGAGCCGACCCAGATGCAGGACACTGGAGGATATGATAACGAGGGCTAGGGAGAGAGAGATTGACCTGGAGATGGAGAATAAAAGGGAATCCAGATTATATGCAGAGCGTAGAGGGTTTGGGCAAGAGGCCCAAGGGTGTTGATACGAGAGCAAAGGGCTAGCAGGGCCGAGGCCGCTGTGGCAAGTGCGGCAGGACGCACGATGGGGTGTGCAGGGTGGGTGGTTCTGGTTGCTTCAAGTGCGTCCGGACGGGTCATATCAGCAGAGATTGTACTGCTACTACCATCAACACCCTGATATCTGATCTGATTTGCTTTCATTGAAATCAGAGGGGCCACAAGTGTTGGATTAATGTCTAAGTCCATAACTATAATTGGTAAGACTTGACCCGACCCGGCATGGTCCATTTGGGTTGCATGGCATCATGCATTTGGATAGACTATAATGAGAGAAATAACACTTAAGGTTGGTTAATATATTATAAGTTCTAATATATTAATAAGGTTATTTAATTAGTATTGATCAAGAATTAATTTGGAATTAATTAAGTGATCAAAAGGAGACTAATTAAATATATGGGTTGATTGTGTAAATCATTCATTCTTATATATGTGGGCTTGTGATCCAAGATTCCTTATGTTGGACTAAGTCCATGGGGTGACCCATGGATACTCCATGGAGGTTAAAATCCATGGAGCATAAGGAATGGGAAAAGTTATGAGTTACATGGTGTAACCCTAATAGCCACCATATAAAAGAATCCCATGGCTCAAGAAATCGTGCACTAATGTGTGAGTGTGAGGGCTAGACGATTTCAAGGAGTGTTCAAGTTT